TATCCCCATGCACCCATCTATTTATCTATCCCCACACCCCTCTTCTATCTATCCCCATCCACCATCTATCTATCCCCATACACCCCCTCTATCTATCTATCTATCTATCTATCTATCTATCTATCTATCTATCTATCTATCTATCTATCTATCTATCTATCCCCACACCCCTCCTCTATCTATCCCCATCCACCCCCTCTATGTTTGCCTATCTATCTATCTATCTATCTATCTATCTATCTATCTATCTATCTATCTATCTATCTATCCCCATACACCCCTCTATCTATCTATCCCCAGACACACCTATCTCTATCCATCCATCCCCATACACACCCATCTCCCCAGATTGTGGGATTCCAGGAAGCAGGGCCGGCTCTAGGCACCAGCAAAACAAGCTGGTGTTTGGGGCGGCACATTTTTAGGGGCGGCATGGCCGGCGCCAGAATGCCTCCCCTAAACATGTGCCCCGGCCGCCCTAGCTCACCTCCGCTGCTGCCGCTCGCGCGCCACGGCGTGTGAAACAGCTGATTTGCGCACCGCTGCTCCCCTATCCCAGGCTCTCAAACCTGGGAGGGAGGGGGAGATCCCGAGCGGCCGCGGCGCGCGAAACAGCTGATTTGCGCACCGCTGCTCCCCCTCCCTCCCAGGCTTGAGAGGGTTACCATACGTCCAGTTTTTCCCGGACATGTCCGGCTTTTCGGCAATCAAACCCCTGTCTGGGAGGAATTGCCAAAAAGCCGAACATGTCCAGGAAAATGCCGGCCGGGCACTTCCCCTCCCGGGCTCCGGCGGCACAGGGTCCGGAGGCACGGGGGCTGCCCGAAGCCGGTAGCGCTCGGGCAGCTCGGCTCTTAAACAGAGCCTAAGAGTCGGGGAGGAGCAGAGCAGCTGGAGCCCGGGAGGGAAAGTGCCCGGCCGGGGGCGCAGGGTCCGGAGGCATAGGGGCTGCCCAAAGCCCGAGCGCTACCGGCTTCACAGTTTGCCAGGCAGCCTCCAGACCCTGCGCACCTGGCTGGGCGCTTCCCCTCCCGGGCTCCAGCTGCGCTGGGGAAGCGCCGGCCGGGGGCGCAGGGTCTGGGGGCTGCCCGGGAAACCATGAAGCTGGTAGCACTGGGGCAGCCCTTTTTGCATGGCTGGGAGTGGGAGGGAGGAGGGGGCGGAGTTAGGGTGGAGAAGGGGCGGGGCTGGGGGGGTTGGGAAATGGGCGGGACCAGGGCCCGTGGAGGGTCCTCTTTTTTTATTTGTTAGATATGGTAACCCTAGATTTGGGGAAGGGGCGGAGTTGAGGGAGGGCCGATGGTGGGGTAAGAAAAAAACGGGGGGGAGGGGCAAAATTGTTTCTGCTTGGGGCGGCAAAAATCCTAGAGCTGGCCCTGCCAGGAGGAGCTGTAGTTGGAGGCCTGGCCGGGTAGATCATCCCCTGTCTCTTGTGGGCTGACTCTTATGCCATCCATCTCGGAGACGGGATACCGGGCTAGATGGGCCCAAGGCTCATCCCTCCATCCCTGAGTGCCTGCGCTAACCATGGCCAATCTGTCTCTTCCAGAAAACATCTCCATCATCCTCTACTGCACCATGGTCCACATCGTCTCTGATGAGCAGTGCGCGGCCAACTACCCCGGGCACGTCAACAGGAACATGGTCTGTGCAGGCTTGAAGGGCGGGGGCACGGATTCCTGTGAGGTGAGGGTGGATGTGATGGGACGGTGCATGGGGCTGGTCGGTGGGGTGAGGGGGTGTCTCTGGGGGTGGGTCACTGGGGGGTGCAATGGGGAGGTGCAGGGGGCTAGTCTGTGGGGCGAGGGGTCGTCTCTGGAGGGGTCACTGAGGGGGTGTGATGGGGAAGTGCAGGGGGCTGGTCTGTGGGGTGAGGGGGTGTCTCCAGGGGGGGTTCCAGAGGGCGGTATGATGGGGAGGTGCAGGAGGCTTGTCTGTGGGGTGAGAGGGAGTCTCTGGGGTGTCATTGAGTGGGTGTGATGGGGCGGTGCAGGGGGCTGATCTCTGGGGCGAGGGGGTGTCTCTGGGGGGTCACTGAGGGCGTGCAATGGGGAGGTGAAGGAGGCTGGTCTGTGGGGTGAGGGGAGCATCTCTGGGGGGTCACTGAGGGAGTGTGATGGGACGGTGCAGGGGGCTTGTCTGTGGGGCGAGGGGGCATCTCTGGGGGGTCCCAGAGGGGGTACGATGGGGAGGTATAGGGGGCTGGTCGGTGGG